TTCAGTACAAAAAGGTGAGAAGTATCTGCAAATCTTCTGTTGCAATGTTAAATACACCACTGCTGGACATATTTTCTAGTCATGACATAAATCCCAGTTCAACATTCGCCAGAGAAAAATGGTTTCACTTAAGTGCCACCGAAATTAAAAATCTCCTGACTTTGTACAGCTTCTAACAGAGTTGCCTCAAAGAGCTTAGAACTGATTGAATGAACTGTGATTTATAAGTATCATTTTAAAAATCGACTACTCCTTCTGAAATAAATGTCTTTTTAGACAGATTAGCAAGCTTTCTTCATAGACTAAGAGCAAGGTCACTATTTTCTATCAAGTCTATAAAAAGTGAACTTCTTTCTACTATGGTACATTTGTAAACTAGGCTAAATTTCATATTTTCACCAGTGGCACAGTTCTGCATTCAGTGTTCAAGAGTAGCTGCTGGCCAAATGCCATTTTGTTTCTTTCAGCTAACCAGAATGAGTACTGGAAATGAGATGAAGAGGTGATATAACTGATAAGTGAAATCATGAGTAGTTGGGATTGATCATTCCCTTTGTTTCCAGGTTGAAAATAAAGGGAAGATTTCTCATGGAGCAGGTAGTTAATCAGCACATGCATTGCTACAGCACATTGGGGCTGATGATACTTGAGGGCTAGGTAATTCACACAGAAAAAAAAATCCATTCAGGGTTACAAATACATAACAACTCTCTCTTGCTTGGGATGTCCTTGAGCTAAAAACAGTTAAACACCAAGAATCCATTAGGGAAAAATTCACATGGGTTTGCCCAGTTCTCACACTCATCCTGGGTGTATGCTTTTAGCACCTATGGGAAGGATATGGGGCTAGGTGGGATATTGGTCTGAGACAACACATACACTAGCTTTTACACATAACATCTGTGCCAAATGAGCTGTATGCTATTTCCCCCAAGTGTTTTTTTAGCTGGTATCTCTGCTTCCATACCACTGACACCTGCAGCAGGATTCGGATAATCCGTTGGACAGAGAGCCCCACTTCTCACTACAGCAGTGTTCACCTTACCATTTGACACTCAGTGGGGAACAGGGATTGCTCAGACAAGCTCTATCATTAATTCACTGCAGAACAAGTTTCTCCAAGCTATCTACATGGATACTGAAGCCCATAAAGCTTCTGACTAGGTTCTAAATAATGCTCATGCATTTTAAAAGAGAAAATCAGACTATGGAAATCATTGATGTTTTTTCAGCATGCAATTAGAAGTTTGTTTTCAAGAATGAATTGAGCTGTGAAGGAAAATAAAAAGGCTCATTCTATTGTGTGTCATTCTGTTTGCACAGTAAGATGGAATTTAAGAGATTCCTAACACATCTTTTCCTCAATGCTTTCAAGCCTTCCAGGAAAGACTAAACCTTCTGCTGACCTAGCAGTTTATGGAAATCTATACGAATGATAAACTGACATTAATATTTGATAAATGGACAGACAGGCCAGACCCAGCCATTTACAGCTTATAATAATTTGCCTGAGTGTGTTATACGACAGCTGCTGATGTCAGCTCTTCGTATAAATGTGAACACCAGCAAAACCCCTCTGCTTCTGAACTAGAATACCTTCCATCTAAAAGAGCAGTTCACAACCATTACTCCAGAAGGTCAGGGGCTATGAATGAACGCTTGCTGGACACTTTACCGAAAGTTCATTCTTTAAACTTTATTCATGAACTCTACAAACTTAGCAGCCAAAGTTACTCAAGGACTCTATGTTTGCCACCGGTGTTCTGAGTAGTCTGTTAGCTAGTATTTTAATACAGAGATCTCTGCAATATAAAGACTAAGACTATTTAATATAGTTACTCGTCTTCCACTACCCCAAAGCTAGGGATACATCTAATTTCTCTAACAAGAATACATTTATCATATATGCTTCTTTTCTTATCACAGAAGATATAGAAGATATAGACCAAAGTATGCAGACAATTTCAGATTTAGCCACACACAAACCTTCAAAATTTCCCTCTCCCAGATTCGATTTGTTGACATCAATTAAAAGACACCCCTGAAAACTAGGGAAAAAAGGCCATTTTCTGCAGTAGTTTTAAATATGTTTTTGTTCTTAAACTTTCACATAATTTTAAATTCTCAAATAAAAGCCAACTGTTTCCATATCTATTTTTTTTTTGATGTTTCAATGTTTCATATGTTCTCTAAGTGGTGGATTAAGTTAGTGAACAGCTGTGGATTTAGTACACGGATGGGGGGAATTACCTCTGGAGATCTATTTTTTGCAGGTGTTGGACACTGAAAATTTAACACTTGCCGCGTTTAAGAGTAACTACAAACTAAGAACAGCAGAAGTGAAAGGTCTTCACCTCCCACTGCCCGGGATCAGAGCTTCTGATCTCTACGAAGCACCCATTTGGTGTTGGATGCTGGCACTGAAAGGACTGCATCAAGGAACAGACTAACACTCTTATGAACATTTCAATTATTCAATTGAATGTTTTCTCTATTTTTAAGATGCTAGAAGGGCACCATAAGTAGAATTCTTAAGCAAAATCATCTGTAGAATCCCTATTCACTTAAAGTTACTTAAAAATAATGACTAAAATAATATGTTTTGGGGTTTGATTTTTTTCCCCATTTTTCTTCCTTCCTGCAATCAGCTCAGCACTGCAATCTACTACTACTGCACAGATTCAAAGAAACATTTATTTATCTCTGAGCCCAGACCACCCATACTTCTAAAGCTACATATTAATTGATTACAGAAGGTTGTGCACAGCCATGAAAAGTGATTTTATAGCCACAAAGCTATTATGAGAATCTACTGAATGGCTTCTGGAGTGCACAGGGATATTACCTGTGACTTTAGAAAGAAATAACTGCTACAAAATCACACATCTGACAGATAAACGATGACACACTGACTACTTTCAGACTCAGTATAATAGTAGGAATTTGATGAACAAATAAATAGTTTTGCATTATAGTTAAAGGTTAGATGACACATATCTGTGCTGTTACTGTAGTTCAGTCTGGGGATTTGGTCTCCTGTTGTTAACTGTATTAGTCTTAAAACACAGTAGCATTTTAAGTTAACAAACAAAATCTGTCTTTCCTGCAGTTGACTTCTTTAGATAGAATGCATTAGACCTGGAAAGCTCAAGAAGCCAACAGAGAAAGGCATGGCATAATCTCTTCTAGATTCCTTTTGTTTTACTTCTAACTAGGATGAATTGGATTTCATAGTTCTTTATAACTTACGTGAACCTGGTTTGCTGGTTTCATTTCTGGTTTCAGTAATTGTGATGTGAACTAAATGACCCAGAACCAAAACCACCAGAGAAGGGACTGTCCTTTTAGCACCTTGTTTCAACATTCAGAGAAAGTAAAGGAAGACAAATGCAGTCTGAAGCCAATGCTCTACTTGCTCAACAACTCAGTGACAGATTACAGTCTAAGTCTCCATCCCTCAAAGCAGGCATGTATCCTCTGTTCCTTTTTGTCCTTTTAGTTTTTTTCATTTGCAGAAGGCAGTGAAAAATTAGGAGAAGATGCATGTTATAATGGCTTTTTTAGAACTCTCTCATTCTGCAAGTACCTCTTGGAAATGTGTACTTCAAATGAGCATGAACAATGTCTCAAATATAGTAAGCACTTAAAAATCTTCAAAACCCATGCATTCTTCTTACATATATTATACCTTTAAATTTTCTAAAATCCCACAGGTTTACTCTTCCATAATTCCTGGTATACCTAGATTAGCTTTCAGAGCTTTAAACAAAATCTTTGCTGTCAATGCATTTACAAACCTCCCACAATCTCAGCATCAGAAAGTCTGTTATTTTTAAATAAAAGGAACGGAGGAGCTCTAACCAGTGAGTTAAAACAGCCTCCTTAATGGAGCAGAAAAGCGCAAGTTGTCATAACAGTGGAATGTATATGGGTCTTTATCATTTTCCAGATAGCATATGCTTTTTTTTTTCTTCCTCTGCTCTGCCAGAGAGAACTCTAAAGCCAATAAACATGTATTTTATAATAACCATAAAAGCAAAGAAACTTACTAAAAAAACTACTGTTACTAATTCAAAACAATAAATGTTCTCTTCAAGATGCAATTACAGGTACATAACTAGTTAAGATGTTCCTTAAGAATTGCATGCGTAGTATAAGGTGAATGGCATTTATGCCACAGAGTATCCTGCAAGCTACAGCATACTCCAGCAATGGAAGCAAGTTTAACCTACAAATCCCAAACATATACAGAATGTCCTGTGCTGTATAACACAAAATAAACACCATCATTAAGTTCAAGATATGAGTTGGGCTGAGAGCTGTCATGGTCAACAAATCTCTAACTATAAGCTCTGCACAGCCCAATAAGGAAAATATTCTCTTATGCAGGCATCCATGGACAATATGAAAGAGAATGGGATGTTTCCACCCCATCTAGGTAAAACACAAGGCAAACTGGAGCCAACCTGATGTGCTGATTTTCCTTTAGATTAAATTTTAGCCTCCTGAGAGAGAAAGAGAGAGAATACATTGTCAATTCAGCTAGAAGACTAAAATTCCTGACAAACCTTGTCAACACAGTACTGTAATTTGAAGATACACTGCACTAAAGAGAACCACAACAATGACTACTGAGAAGCATTGTAATCACCTAAAAAAGCTGGCAAATAGTATTTGTAATCAGAATGAAACCTGTGTTAGCCAGGAAGGTCTATGGCACAACTGTATTACTGAATTCATTCACAGGATTAAAAGAACGGTTCAGAAGAGAGACACTTTGTCACACCCTTTATGCTTAGGCCACAGAGGTGCAGTTATCAGAGAGGTATACATCATCAGATGCTAAATCTACCTAAGATTGTCAAACTGACACCAAAGAGTGCAGAAATAGGACATAATCATCACCATCAATCAACAGTCAACAGGCATTTGTAATCACATTGCTCCTTGAGAATGGGATGAAAGGTATAGTAATAAAATCAAGGGTTTTATTACTGTACCTTTCATCACCCAAGGTGCTCTCACTCATTCCTCCATCTTCTTCCATTTCTAGGCCATGCTGAAGATCTTCAGGAGACAGATTCATATTATGCTGAAAGTTCATCATAATAATTGAATAAGCAATGTCATCCTTAAGGCCAGTGACCACACTTCCTCTAGAGGAAGAAACCAGGATGTTGATACCACTGCAAAAATCATAGCATTACTAAAATGTCTGCAGACCTCACATCATACCAAGAGTACTTCTGCACAGTTGAACTGAAAAATGCCTTGGTCTACAACTTGTCTCTGACTGTTCACCTTTTCCTCCCTATACTTGTATCATTTTTTAATTTGTTCTTTCTAATCATCCCACCAATAATGTTTAAATTTCAACAAAGGTGTGTCTATAACAACTGGTAACAAACCAGAAGTTCAGTATCCAAAAATGGGCAAAAATGTGATAAAGGCTGTTAACGACTTCAGAATTCTATTTACACGTTTCACTGCATACCTTTGCTCTACGGTCTAATGTCTGATAGCCCACTACTTTCCCACTGATTTTCCCTTTTCTTCATTTAGTCTTTCTCCCATTTGTCTGCTCAGATTTCTGATCTCCACCTGTGTTACCTACTCCGAAGAAGCAATAATTACATTACCACACTTCTTTCCTATATTAGCTGATGCAAACAAATTCCACTTATTTTTCAGGATGCAGATTCTCCCTTACTGGTCAATCTGCACTGGAAGGGAGAGCCTTCTGTCCACAAGGACAAGCCCATACATCTGCCTGGAATAAAGCAGTATCTCCATAAGTGGCTGAAAAGTGTGTCTTTTAAGTGCATGGTTAATTCTTCTAATCAATTAATTCCTACAGACTAGGACAAGCCAGTAAAAGACAGATTTATATGCAAGCTGATCCACGTGATAAGTCTAGCCCTTATGGGCTAGATTTGTGAGAGCAGGGGGGATAGCAGGAGTAAAACATTTCCCAGAAGGAAAGAAATCTCCCATTATCAACATGCAGTCAAGAACATAAGGACCAAATTGTCCAGTTGTTTAGTAGTTGGGCAGAGCTACAGCAAAGCACTAGAGCAGCAGCCTGTAGACACACAATCTATGAAGCAATGGTTCATCACCAGTTGGTCCCCAAGCAAAAGTTACTAATGAACAATACCTCAGTAATGCCCTAATGCAAGAGCCTCTCTGCTTGTAGAAGGAGAAGACAGGAAGGTTTACAAGACTTCCAGCTACTATGATTGTGATCCAAATATAAAACAGAGCACAAGTGTTTATCACAAATGTGCCCCTCAGGTTGTGGAGCAGGGGAAGCTGTGACGTGAGTAGCCTCCTTCAGTCTTTGTTTCCAGTTCTTTGGGAGAGGCAATAACACAGTCCATGGTTCCCTCCTTTTCATGCTAGCTCTGATGTTCAAGAGCCCACTTAGAGACAGGATTTGTACCTCAGACCCTGAAAAACAGCTTGGTCAAACCAAGAGCTATTTTCTTCATTCTTATCACTCCAACACCTAGAGCAACATAAATGAAGCCACCTGCTTCATGCTAGCTTTTCCTCCTCACAGTGTTTGAGTAGAAGGAAAATGGGGGGAAAGGCATGAGGATAATTTCAAAAGGTGGGTATGCTTAAAACCTAAGCCTGCAATACAACACAGTATGAAACCTGGACATCATTATGATGATCTTGGATTAACCTGCAAGTAGAACCAGCTTCCTTCCCTGGCAGTCCATGGGGTGCTCATCTGCTATTCCTCCTGTTCATTTCTCTCATGCCTCATTCTTATTCACCTTTGGCTTTGATATCCTAGGTTTGATCATTCAGCCACCAGGAGGTAATTATTTCTTTCTACTCTCTAAAGAGGATTACAGCAGCATGGTGACACTTTCAAAACACAGTACACCACGGATGGTATCCACAGTACATAACACCTGTGACCCTAGAAAATCTGCTACTAATACATCAAAACCTACAAGAAGAAAAAAAAACACAACCACAATCGCTGGTTATTTTCTTTAAAAAATTCAGTAATCTTTCAGAAGTCATCTATGCAATTAAATCAAAACCAAAACATCGTTATTTATCAACTGCAGCTGCAGTGTCAGGCTGCAGCAGCACACCCCGACGGCTTCTGCCCCTCTGCCTTTCAGCACCACGGACACCCAGCTCCAGCCCGCGTCCAGCTGCAGGGGCCGAGGCTGCCGCAACGCCCTTCCCTCCTCCCCAGGAGATGGTGAACTTCTACAAAGATGTTATTAATTTTCTTCCAGGCTTTCCTGTTTGAGCTCAAAGTGCAGTTAGAAAAAGGCTAAAAAAATTATAGCAAAGAAAATGGGGGGTTTTTTTCCCCCCAAATAAACCATTGTCAGAACCAAAATATCATCAATGTCTCCTGATTTTAAAAATTAAATGAATAAAGTAGGGCACCCGGAGATAATGACAGAATTATTTCTCTTCAAATGTACTGAGACATTGCAGCTCTCCCTAGGTGTTCTCTTTAAGCAGCACTTTTCCCCAAATTCATGCAAGTTTCTGCACAAACCTGGAAACCCGTCTACACTCACCCAGGATCAACTGCTGTGAATTTTCTTCTGATGGAAAATACTTTGTTCAGTTCAAAGGTATAAATTCTGCAATGTCCTTCCAAGACAAAAGCAAAAGGGCTTTCTTGCAACCCCTAGCCCTCCAAAGCATCCATTCAACCTTACTTGCAACAAAAGGGGGTTTATGGACAAGTAGAACATTTTTCTCTATTAGCGTTAATTGTTTCTGCGAAGGCAGGGTGACTTGATTCTCTTTGTTAGCAGAGAGCTCGGGAAATATTACAAATCATCGGAAGCGCTGTTCAATTTCAGAGCCCTCTGTGTTACATTGTTTGCCCTTCCCTCTGCTTCAGTGTGGGTCACGCCTGCCCTCGGAGATGGATCGTACTGGCTTTTCTCTGAGGCCCATCCCAAACCCACAGAAGTATCACAGGCAGTTTAACTCCCTCTGGGATTAACTGATACTCGAATCTACATGAATATCTGAGCTTCTCTGCTTATTATGCAGGCTACAAGTTTGAAGGGATAAGGAAAACATTCGTAAGGGCACTTGTGAAGATGCACGCATTAGGAACGCCCCGATTAACTGAGCACCACCGGCCGCGCTCCCGCGCTCCGTGGCGGGGCTGGAAGGCAGCGGCGACGCCGCTAAGCCCTGTTTAAGGGCAGCGGCACACCCGGCA